TAGACATGTGGGGGCGTGTTTAAATTAGGCGTTTTAGGAGGGCGTGGACCAGTCTTAACTTTTATAAAGAATATCTCTTTGGGTTTGAGACTTTAGTCTTTGCAACTTTAGGGATCTTATCTATTCACGAACAGCTTGTAACACTCCAAAGAGAAACGAAAACTTGAAATCGCATCATATGACTAGGGGTGTGCCGATCCGATATTCAGTATCGGTATCGCTCCGATACTGGCATTTTCTGCCGGATCGGGTATCTACGGTGGACCAGTAGTGCACAGCACAACGCAATTAAAAAAGCAAACATCAGCTCACAACACAACGACGTTAAAAAAAGCAAACATAAGCACACAACACAACGACATTAAGCCACAACACAACGGAAATGCTCCCGAATGGTAAGGGACATAACATATCGTGTCCCGGAGCGACGAGACAAAAACATTCAAATCCATTATAAACGAGGCAACTTACTATTGGAGAAAGCATAACGGCTAACTTTGATCACGTGTCCCTTAATAATCAATCACATTACAGCCTTGACATCATTGATTTTCATTTGTGCTACACTCAGTCGCCGTTTACGGATCCCATAGGAATGAATGAGAAGTACCGTAAGCTGAATCACACCTGTCGCAAAAAGTCAGGGACTTCTCTAATAAAACAGCATTTTTTTCGTGGTAAACTCAAAAAATAGTTAAATCCAAAAGTATTGTTTAGTGTAAAACATGTTGAAGATTAGCAGATAGGCTGTCGATTCATTAAGTGATCAGCCGTTTCCTCTAAAAAGCTGTTTATTCAGCGTAGTGAAGCCTCTCCTCCATTGACATCCATTAAAAAAAACGACCTCTGGTCTCCTTTCCCACGTACTGCCAGACCGGAAGCGTTAGCTTTAGCCGTTACGCTTTTTCGGCTAATGGTTGCAGGCTTGCCTTCTAGTGGCTTTGGCAGTTGGTCTGCAGAAATGGGCAATGGACTCTATGCACGGCACGCAGCCTACGTATTTCCTGTGAAATCTCAGGGCGCATAAAAGGTTCCGGTCTGTACTCAGCCATAGCGTGAGTGCATTACCAGCCGCAATCTTTTGTCAATGAACGATGATTATAAAATAATATTTATACATTTATTTATACATATTGCTATAATATAACAAATTAAGTATACCACAGTAATATAATTATTTAATGAAGAGTTCCATAAACATCTGTGAGGGTGGTTTGTCCCGCTATTACTGTGTCCCATTTTGTGAAGCTTCTCAAAAGGTTTTTCACACTTCTCCCCTGGATGAATTAACTCGCAATAAGTTGATTCAGAGTAGTAGATGTAAGGATTTTAACATCACTTCTGATACTACAGTCTGCAGGCGCCACTTCAAGAATGACGACAGCATGCGAATCTACACTAGGTAAGATCTAAACCCTTATTATTATATTACCGAGCACAATGTAGGCCTATTGTGAAATATTTTTATTTTCTATTTTTTTTTGTCGCTGTGGTTGCCTGTTTGTTTAAAAACCTCTTCTGTGGGTCTGGGCAATACGTGTTAACGAGTTAATAGATGATTCACCCAAAAATACATTTAAAAGAAATGTCTTTTAATTTATACAGTAGTCTTGTAAACCCATAGCTTAAAAAAGTAATTGGCATACGTCCTAAAACATTTGAAGTGGATCAAAAAAGTTAATCAAAGTTGTCCTAAGACAAGAACGGGTATTGTTTTGGTTTTAGGACAACTTTGATGAAAGGTTTTGATCCACTTCAAATGTTGACTACTATAGTATATATTTATATATAAATATATTACTTGTTTTTCATGAATGTATTTTACAACCATACAAAGAGCAATGTGTAGGCTTACCAGATTTAGTCCTACACTTATTAACTTTTATTTGTTACCCACTAAATAATGTTTTTTTTTCACTAAAACTTAAAGATTTTATCAAATTATTGTGCACTCATGATTTTTCTAGAGTAACTTTTGCTACTGAATTATCCATTAACCTAGTTTATAATAGTATTTGTCATAGATTATGATTATATATTTTTGTTTGTTATTTTTCTTTATAATGAAGCTGTCTATATTTAGTATATTGTGTATAACATACAAAAGAGTGATGATCGACCTACACATTGAGGTATAGAACTTCTACACTGATTTTAAAAAACTGCGCTGGTATCGGATGGATATCGGTATCGGCAGATACTCAGAATTTTTGGTATCGGTATCGGTTCTGAAAAAGTGGTATCGAGCCAGCCCTACATATGACCCCTTTAAATCTCTCTGATTTCTAAAATACATTTGGATAAAAACCAAGATCACAATAATACTGAGTCATAGTACAGCATATATTTATATTTGTGCATTAATTCATGATCTTTAATACGAGGCAATAATCTGTTATGGAAACAATGAGGATCGATGGAATAAGACATATAGAAGCATAAATGACTATGTACTGATGCTGTGCAAACTGTATAATACCGTGTTCTCCATGTTCATTATTATGAATACAAATGTGAAGGAGGATGAAACAGTCATGATTACACAGTACCATATTGACTTTATGATATGTAGTGTTTACTTTGGACTTAAATCCATGTTTATAAAAAAGACACCCTTCAACCGGTTCCTTTTCTTAAACGACTGCCTCATGCTCAATGCAAAACATAACTAAAAGGTTTAAAGAGTTGTAAATATTTGCATAGTAACCATTATTAAAGATATTAGGTTGCATGACATTAATGATCTCTTACGCTGAAACCACAGATAGCATAAAATGCTAAATCGAACAGAGTAAGGCAGACTGAAAGGGTCTAGCAAGGGGTCGGCTATTGCTCCTTTATATATGATTCAGCAGAAAGGAGAGCAGAGCAGCGATAAACTACAGGAGCATTTACACACTTGATAGTGTAAATCACTGTGAATGACAACGTTGGACTAGAGGTCTGCGCAGAACTATTTTTTTAGTCCCGCTCCCGCAAGGTTATATTCCGCACCCACCCGCTCCCGCTATATATTCACTCTTTGTTCACCCGCTGTCCGCTTAGAATAATTTTCTTCCCGACCCGACCGTTCCCACTAAATTTAGATCTCGTTTCCAGAATCTCACATTTAAATTTCCGCTACTGAACGAAAGAGTGATAGGCTAACAAATAAAATTGTAGTCTGCACAAAATTGTATGTTATTTTATTCGTTTATTCTTGCATTTATTGACTTTGACTTGAATTTATATGAATTATCTTAAGAAACAAAATTTGTTTAATATTTTGTGCAACACAGTAGGAAAAAGTGTAAGAGAAAATAAAAATGTTGTGCAAAAATTGTATTTCTTGTTTTCATTTGTCTTGTCAGGATACAATTCGTTTAACATTTACAACACAATAGGAAAAAGTGTCGCAGAGAGAAAAAAAAAAGAAAATGTAGGTTGTACAAAAATAGCCTAATAGCTATTTTTATTCTCTTGTCAAAATACTAAATTAATTTGACATGTTTCTGTTAACACAGTAGGAAAAGTGTCGCGGAGAAAAATAAATAAATACAACATCTGTCATTTAAAAATACAGGTTAAGCAAAATATAAACAAAACTGAGTTGAATGTCCTTCAAGGACAGCGCATCCACACTTTGCTTCATCCTTTTTCTGCTCTGTCACTCATCGACAACCTGCCTGTTCTGTCTGAGGGCCATATATTTACCACCGTACAGCCTGCTCTGAGCATCGTTATGCACATGCTGTGCACAGACCCCGCAAATAAAACGTGTGACGCAGAAAGCATGCGTGCAGCGCGTGCATAACAGTCCGAGTGCAGGCTGTACCGGTGGTCAATAAGAATAAAGGGCAGATATGCTGTTCTGAATGGACGTCGGGAACGGGACATTGTTGGACCGCCAGCTCCCGTTCAAATTACAGCAGAGTTACCGACCACTACTGCGTTTTATTCGGGAATTTAATCCCGCAGCGCAAAAGTACGCATCTGCAGACCTCTACGTTGGACCCCATATTCTCCTAAAATTGGCATTCATCCCTGAGACTCTAGAACAACACTTGATTTTCGGATCGTACAGACGCAGTGCCCTGCACTGGACCGTCACCACAGCTGCTTCTGGGATAGAGCCAGAGTTCAGGAGAACGACATCTTTCTCTTTGTTTTGCAGCATTCAGAGACTGTGAATGCAGTTATAATCTGCTTCCATCATATTCCCTTTCCTCATTCATTTCTTCATTACACATATAACGCATATATAACATTTTATCATCCTCTTGCAAAGTCTTATTCACTCTGTCCTTCTCTGATTCATTGTTTTGGTTCCCGTTTTCTCCCTGTTTGCCATCATCCTGTTCTTCGCTCTCAGATTCACCAGCTTCTTCTGACACAGAGTAAATCTCTCCTGGGTTGTTTGGCCCTTTGCAGTTCATTTGATTGCTAACAGTATTTTTTGAGATGAAACCATCCACTAGGACGCTTAAGCCGCCAGGCTTACAGGCGTTGGCTTTGGGTCCACCCTGCTGGATCACAGAGGTGGCGACATTCTGCAGTCTCAGCTTGCCTTTTAGTTGACTTCCAGCTGAAGTTGAATTGCACTTCAGAGGGTTATCAGGATACACTAGGTTTGAAGCTCCTGTGTTCCCTTTTGAGTTTGACACACCAATCTTATTGCCCTTCATCATTCCCATCACCTCGTAACGGAAGCTTGAGATGTCCTGTTTAAGTTCCTATGGTAATAGTAATCACACATTGTTCAGTAAACTGTAATGTATATACTGTATATATATATATATATATAAATTCACAGATAAATATTCATTTGGAGTTGTTTTTTTAATCATTTACTTACTTATTTGTCTTTATGTATCTTTATGTATTAACTCTTGTTTTTCTTTGATAAGTAGCTGTGTAATAAGCAGTGTTCTTATTGTAAACTAAAACTTAGAAAATAATTGGTGTTAATTGAAATAAAGCTATATAAAAATAATATATAATAAGCTGAATAAAATATAAATAGTAGAAAATGTTGAAATGGAAATTATACGTTTTGGCTTGGCAACAGCTGAAATAAGTTTAAGATGAAGGACTAAAATTACTAAAGCTAAAAGTAATAAAATATTAAAGAAATAAAAATAAATTAAAGCTAAAAGAAATCTTATAAATAAAAATAATTATAAAATGGACAAAAGCACATAACAAAATGACTAAATGTTAAACTAAAGTGAAAACATAAAATGTAAAAAAAGTTAATTCAAATTATTATCAAGTACTATAATATTATGTAAATATTATTAAAATAAAACTGATATTAAGTGACACAATGTACTGGCTACAAAACCTTATCAAGGGTTATATTGTGATAATGATTGATTGACTGTAAGTTGTCCCTTACTATCAAAAAAAATAAAAAATAAAAAGTACACTTTACCTTAAAGTTCTCCTCAGTTAATCCCTCTTCTTTTTTGCCATCCCTAATCATTGCTGCCACATACCGCTTAACCAGGTTTCTAAGTACCTCCTAAAAAAATGTAATTCATTTGATTATGAACCGGGAAAAGATTAGACCAAACAAGCAGCCCACAGAGTCTTTCAGAATAGTCAAAGTGTATTTGAAGAGGAGATTAATGTCTAAATTCAGAAGGACGTGAGTTGATTTACACTGTAAAAATGAGATTGTGAAATAAGAGATTGTGGTGAGCTTTAACCTTTCATCTGGTGATCTGATGTAAAGTGTACTTTGTAGACAGATTTAATTATCAGTTGCTTTGCAAGAGATACCATTACCTGGTACTGGCGGTTTGTGCGGACGTTTTCAGCAGCTCGCATCTGAGAAAAAAAGAGAATAGCTCAATTATATAGATTTTTCTTGACACCTACTTTGCTATATTACAAGATAGTGAAAACCTCAGCAACTCCAATCAATTTGTTCACTAAATCATTTAGACACATTTGAACATTTTGAAGATTATTCATCATACAGAGCAATCGCATGACTTCACAAGACTTATAGTAAATGGACAATGGACTTTTTTTTTTTTTTGGGAGATGTTTGGTTCTTTCTGGATATTGACAATATAATTCACCATCTGTCTGAAAAAGAGCAGCATGAACATTCCAATAAAAATCAACTTTTGTTGAAGAAAAACACTTGAATAACTATTATAAAAGGAGAGCAAATGGCTTATTACCCCAAGTGATCCAAATGTCTCAGTTCTCTTTCTGTGTTTAATATTGAAGAAGTGGGTCTTGATCCATCTGATGAGGTACCACGCTGATTTTGGACTTGGAATGATGTTAAAGGGAGGAGGCAGTGTGCCACCCTCCTCAAAGTAGCTCATCCAAAGTTTAGTTCTAGCAAACTTCCACTCAATATCAGCATGGTCCTGTGGAACAACCAAAGAGAAGAGATTAATATGTCAATTAAACAGTAAAGTGAAAAAAATATTTGCACTTTAAAAATTCATGTCACACCAAAGAGGTATAAAATGAACTAATGAGGCAAAAAGTGATAAGCTTAATATATATAAAAATACATAACTTTTGATATTGAAAAAAAGTTAATGTACCCAAAAGATAAAAATAACTAATTTATAGCACTTACAGCAATATGTTGATAGGAATTATTCATCATAGCAATGAGCATATTAAGAAGCACCACCAGAGAGATTATGTTGTAGGTCCCAAACATTGTGGCTCCAACAAATTCGGTGAATTCATGTTTGGCGTCCACATTGGTCACATGCAGGGCAACAAGACCAAATATGGACCAGAACAATGACTGTAATGTCTCAAACATGCTGGAAAAAAACAATCAAAAATATAATATCACTATTTTACTGCAAAACAAGCAAAATTGAGATTAAACCTATCAATCTAAGATTGCTCACGTGGTGAATGCATTGTTCTGCTCTGAGCAGCGGATACCCTTGCATGTGACGTTGTTAATAATTCTGCCATCAGTTTCATAATAGAAATACAGTTGATTGAGTCCATTTGCAAATGCGAGTAGCACCAGGCAGTAAATGAAGAGGAATTTAAGGATGTCCAGCAGCATTCTGCCGAGAGAGATCTGAAGAGGGCCCAGGTGAGAGTTGGCTGTGAAGAGTGAAATCAGTCGTAGGGAGCTAAATATGTTAGCAATGGCAAACAAGGCCTCACCCACCAAGGCGGGGTGCCACATCACCCATGCCTCCCGCTGCCCATAGTTGTCAGAGCACTGCAGAAAGACAAGTGTTGAGAATTACAGTATGTGATCATTTCGAACCTCTGGTCAACCTCTTTCCAATTAACAGTAGACTAACATCTTGTCCTAACCAGGCACAACCCAATATGTTTTCTAGTTACAGGTAATTTGTTTGTCCACAATGAAAGTCCAAATGCTTTGAATGCAAATCACAGCCAATCAAAAATGTCTGTGTGTAATGTACACAATTTTAAACCAATGAGATTTCACACTGGACGGGGCTACCCACCACTGGTTTGCAGCACTTTCAATTGGTCAGTAGGTGAGATTTCTACTTGCCATGCAAATATTTTTGCTGAAATTAATATTTTTAGTAAATTAAATTTGTTATATATATATATATATATATATATATATAAATAGAATTACAATTCATTATATATTATATAAAATATAATTTATAAAAATTATATACACATTTAAAAACAACAAAAACTAATAAAATAACGAATAAACACCACTAAATTGCTAAAACGTTGTTGATGTATTTCCTCAGCGACCAGCATGGATCAGCTATAGGCTCTAGGCATGACGAAGCGGATATCGTCCTCCTTTGGAAGGCCAAACAAAGTAGTTTCGATTTCACAACGAAACACACAGTGTCTTCACGACATGGTGGCAGCAACAATACTACAGCGAGAATAAAAGTTATGCCTTCTTTCTTTGCGTGAACATTTGGGCGGCGTTATGCAAATCTTCCCACATCGTGACGTAGACATGTGGGGCCGTGTTAGAACGAGCCGTTTTAGGTAGGCGTGGTTGACTCTTAACTTTTATAAAGAATATCTCTTTGGATTTTAGACTTTAGTCTTTGCAACTTTACAGATCTTCTTTATGCACCAAGAGCTTGTAACACTCCAAAGAGAAAGGAAAAATTGAAATCGCATCATATGACCCCTTTAAGTTATTCAAGAACCATTTGGTCTATCAAAAAGCTTTTGATAACATGTTGCTCAAAGTTCAAAATGGCCAACAACCTAAATGGCCAATATGAGAAATGTGGGAATCAGAAGAGACCATTTTTATGATTTTTTTCAAATTCAAATTTCAAGTTCAAATTCGTTCATGCAATACTCAAGAACAGTTGTATTTATCAAAATTTTTTTGATAAGTTTTTGCCAGTGTGGTCTGAAGATTATCTGAGGACAAGTTCAAAATGGTGAAAAATCTTGACCCACAAAAATTTGAATTATTGTATGCATTTGACTTGGCATGAGCCAAGGAATGAGGAAAATAAGATTTTGCTTCTAAACCTTACAGTTTAGAAGATATTAGCATAAACATACATGTAATTTCAGACATTAGGTGCACTAGATGGTTTGAATTAGAGACTCCAAATTGGCTGTGGTTAATGTTGAGACTGTCCTCTATCGGTGTGACAAATTTCACAACTTTTTACCATATGGTTCTATGGGCTGCCATAGACTAAAGAACAGAGTAAGAAGAAAAAGAAGAAGACTAACCGATACAGTAGGTGCCTTCACACCTTTGGTGCTTGGCCCCAATAATATCTGACAATATGAGTGTTTTTACTGTATATTTAATTAAATAAATTCAGTCTTGGTGAGGATTAGAGACTTCTTTTGAAAACATCTTACCGACCCCATACTTTTGAACAGTATTGTATATGATTAGTTGTTTCAATGAATGTTAATTTTTCTTTTGGCAAATAATAATTCACACATAAAATATCCGGGAAAAGTTTGTAAAGCATTGTAAAATCAAGCCAAACCTCGGTTTGTTTTATATAAAAAGTGTAAAAGAGAACATTTTTACTTAATTTTTTGATTTGTAACACACTGTTCTTTTCTCTCAGGCTGCTCTATCTGGTTCTCATCATATCTAAATGATTTAAATCCCTATATGGATGTTGCATGAGAGCTTTTCTGCACCATTTGTAAAACCATCTGGGCTGCACATGGAATGCTGCAAGCCAAATATTGACTTGTGTGAATTAAACATGGATACATGTGACTGACATTTTGTGATGTCAGTAGTAGCAAAATCAGCAGAATGTTTTTTGTTGTTGTTAATGATTCATGAAATAAAACACGCACGTATTATACTGTATATAATATATAATTTTAATACTACATATAGTTTGTAATTAAATTAAATTTAACAAATATAAAGATGTATTTTATTTATTTAATTATTTACAAAAGTTATATATTTAATAAAATCCACAAGCTGTCACTGGGGGTGGTACATTTTAGGTAATATGTACACTTTACGTATACTAATATGTACCTTTAAGGTAATAGAAAGGTACCAATGACAGCTTTTGTACATTTTTTCTGAGAGTGTATAAAATATTTTTTATGACTATATTTATTTTTTATAGTAAATAATTATTTATATTATAATAATTATTATAAATAATTATCTTGACCATCATTTGAATTTTTTTATAGGTTTAATTTTCCTTTTTTGGTTCTCTAATTCATGAAAGACAAATAATTAAATTGAATACTTTGGCCATTCAGCCTAATTTGCTGTCATCTGATTGTGATGTGGAAGATCTTCCAGAGGAATTTCAGTGACACAGATATGGAATAATAAGATCCTGATGTGCTTCTGTTAATTTACATACAGATGCCACAGGTGAATAAAGGCAACATCTTCCTCAGCTTACATTAAGCATCACTTCTTTCTCTAAAAGTAAAAGCCTGCAAGTTGATGTATATCACATAGAAGCCTCTACTGCATAAGAAGAAATTTCCTTCTACCTTTCAAACAGAAAGAGCTTGTAATGTTTAATGTGCACAGAAGGGGGCAACATAGATCCATATAATATTGCAGCCACTCGGCAGCATCCCTCTAGAGCAGTGGTTCCCAATTACGTTCCTGGACGCACACACTGCTCATTTTGCATGTCTGCTCAATTCATCTGCTCATAATAATAATAATAATTCCAGGAACATGTTTGGAAGCCACTGCCCTAGAGGGAATATAAACACAACCTACCTTCTTGGGGTGAAAATATTCTACTCAGTTTTAAAGACCGAAATTTACTAAATAGAAAAACAACACCACCTGAAATATATTATCCACAACATGCAAAATACACCAAATTGCCAAATCAACAGGGCAGCCGTCCAAGCACACTCCCTGACTACTGAAACAAACAACTATAAACACCTGTGTTTGTAATAATGAACCTTTGTAATATGCTTGAGTGCTGTATGTTGAGAGCTAATGATCTTGAAGTAGTTGTGGATTGCTTTCAAAGTTCTTGTTGTCCAATGCGGACATTTGAAGAGCACAAAACTCACCTCTTTCTGGTGATACTTGATAGCCAGTTTCAGCCTGGCAAGATCATTATTCCCTTCATCCTCTAGGAGATTCATATTGTCCTTGTAGTTCAGAATCAACTCGAGCTCTCTTGAGCTACGTGTTTGGTCGAGCAGATCTTTGGCGAACAGCTTGCATTGCTGGGAAAGCTCTTCATACTCGGACTTGAATTCATTCTCCACCTTGCTGAGCTCCTGGAGCTCCCAGCTGAGCTGAAAGGCCGTCAGGAAGGGGTCTTCGCTGGAGAGGGCGATGAGTGAGGGACTGGCCAGGGCGCGGTAGATGTTGAGACGGGATCTGGAATGTCGCAGGCTGTCCACATCTGAGCTGGACACGCATTCCATGCAGTTGCAGCGCACCTGGTGGGGTTGGGGCATGGACACACCCTTCTGAACCAACATCTTGATGATCTCATAGTTGTTGGTGTGAGCGGCCAAGATGATGGGTGTTATGTCAGGAGTAAAATCGGAGAACTGTTTATCCAACAGGATAGGAGGCACCTAGAAAAGAGAGAAATAAGGGTTGATGAAGTTCACTGCAAAGCAATATATAAGTGCAAATGACAAGTCTCGGTTAGCCTAACTAAGAATTACACAAGCTTCAGTCTGGATCCAGCCCTTACAAAGACCTGAGATGACCGAACACCTGAGAAGAGATGATGCCAACCCCTCAGAGGACCTCTGATGATGCCAACCATGAAACGACATAAACTACCAAATTTTGCTACAAGTTTGATTGCAACATATAATCATTGTTAATAGTGTTCATCGTCTGTTTTATATTACGTATATTAACTGAATTTTACCGTACATTTCTGCCATATGTACATCAATTTGACATAGTCACCACTGTCAAGCTACTACTAAATATATTGTAGAAACTTAATTTTCTGTAAAGTTGCTTTGCAACGATTTGTATTGTGAAAAGCGCTATACAAATAAACTTGAATTGAATCTGCTTGAAAAGCAAAATTATGATTTTTAAATCTCGTTCTATGATAAATTTAACTAAATTTAGTTATTAAAGGCAGGGTAGGTGATTTGGTTCTAAAACATTTTTGTTATGCTAGTTAAAAGTCTCTTCATATGCCGATAGCAATCACTAAGTTAAATGGTCTTAATGTATTTATATCATCTGTGGAAGATGTAGGACCATAAAATGTTCGTCCAATCATATCCCTTGGTCCGAGGGCTACAATTGGCTGTCCAACCTGTCTATCAATGCATGTATTTGCATACCTCTGCGTACCCTGTTTGAGCAGACATGATACGTCATCAGTGCATTCCATTATGCTATTGCAGACCAAGCGAGAATGAAAGGTGTTATTACTGTAATACTGTACTGTAATGTTTTCTCCCCTATGAAAGAGACATGAGGTAATCTGACAGCATTGCATTCAACCCTCCACCAACGCCGTCTCTCATTGCGTTCATGTGTTTTGGAGGAGGCGTGGCTTTGGAGAGTGATTTGCAGGGAGGCTGTGATCTTATGCTTTGAAAGCTAGCTTGCTATTGCTAGTCTCTCCAAAATCACCTACCCTACCTTTAAAACTAGAAAAAAAATACTTGAACTTCACATGGGAAATAAGTTTATTTTAGAATCCTTTTGGAAAACATTTTTAAGCGTAAACCTCATTAATGGTTGATTTCTCAGAAAACAATACTTTTCCCAGTAGTACCTTATTTTAATGATGTTTTCACTGGAAAACAAGACGAGAATACTGAGTAAGAAACGTATTTGTTGTTAAAGAAGCAATGAGTTATCACTGTGACATCAGCACTTAACCCCAGCTTCATGGTGTCTGTCTCTTCAAAAAATTGAAGGCCATGCAAGGCAACTCAACTCAATCAGTGGCCATCTTGGTTACCCCGCCAGGCAGTTATTTTGTGTGCCAGTAATAGATCAAGTCTGTACTGTAACTTTTTCTCAGTTTATTGTTTCATTGCTGAAAGTATTAATTTCTTTCAAAAAGAAAAAAAAACTGACCCTAAATTTTGGATCGGTTGTGTAGTTGTACATCTATGATAACATAAGAAATGAATACCATTTATAGTCCTATCATTTTATTACTGTTTACTCACTTATGACTTTGGTACATAGTTAAATATACAAGGTAAAACTGGGGAAAATTAATGATTTTGGATATTTTGTGTGCCAGTAATAGATAAAGTCTGTACTGTAACTTTTTCTCAGTTTAATGTTTCATTGCTGAAAGTATCAATTTCTTTCAAAAAGAAAAAAAAACTGACCCTAAATTTTGGAACGGTTGTGTAGTTGTACGTCTATGATAACATAAGAAATGAATACCATTTGTAGTCCTATCATTTTATTACTGTTTACTCACTTATGACTTTGGTACATAGTTAAATATACAAGGTAAAACTGGGGAAAATTAATGATTTTGGATACTATTGTGCATTCTATATGATATTACATACACATTGTGCCATAAATTTAAAATATACATTGAAACATTGAAACATTAAAACGGTTTAGACCGAATCAAATTTTCAAAACTCCAGTTATAATCTGGTTACAAACCACATACAAATGTGATCTGGATCAGGTTAGTTAAAATATCATGTGTTTTTGTTTTGCTGTTCAGAACACAAGAAAGCATGCATTTAAGTGGTGTTTTCTGTGGTATACAAAAATAAATTAGATTTTTGCTGCCTGTCTGAACAAAGCCTTTAAGCTGCTCAATGCATGATTCAATTATTCTGTGCTATCCCATAAACAACAACAACAACAACTAAATATGCATTTCATATGCTCAACCAGATTTTATGACAAATTCACCTTATTTTTCTGTGAGACATGGTGGCATGATGATCAATTTGCTACACTGTGTGGCACTGAAGTCATTAGCACTTTATCTGTGGCAGGGGTCACAGCCCTTCAAACAAAGTGGAAAATTACTTAATCTTCAGCTGCAAGGATAATGGATAATGCAATCCATCATCATGGAAAAGCAAGAAATCACTATTAAGAGGAGCACTACTTTCAAAACTTTTAATTAAGCAGACAGGTCTACAGGGAAAAAATGTCCCTTTCAGAAAGGATTAGTGCATTCTCAGGTCCCAGGTATTACTGCAACATGGTCAGGAAAATCATTTGAAACAGTCTGAAACAGTTTGGACGTAACCTGCACATTTACAGTCGCTTCACAAAAGAAGGGATTACCAAGGCAACTGGGAATTCCTGCATGTGTAAGTAGAATTGAAAAGAAGACCCAAGAGATGCTACAGTAGGTGAGACATCAAATTGTTTCAGTTATACAGGAAACTCTGAAGTAAATTTGTCAGTGATTGCCATCTTACCTGCATGCCCCTGCTGGGCTTTTTATGGTTCAAAAGCAGCTCCACAGCCCCCACCACTTCCTTTCGTATGGCGTGTAAAAGCGCATCCCCCACATACACGTTAAAGCTGAGCAGCAGCTCAATGATTTCCAGGTTCTCATTCTCAATGGCAATCAACAGAGCCGTCCGTCCCAGAGGGTCGATGCAGTTGATGTTGATTTTGAAGTAGATTTCGGCTTCTATCAGTGCTTGTTTGACGCTGGCGTAGTCGCCTTTCTCCACAGCACACAGGTAGGCCTTTTCCAGCGGTGACAGCTCAGACTCAGCTCGAACTATCCGCAGAGGGATCCGGTCCCTGTATGAGAAGTTGTCCGTTCTGCGAAAGTAGAGCTGTGACATTGCTGCTATGCCTTCATGAGAGACAACTGGGCATGAAGAGATGGAAATAGAGAGACCCAGTACAGACAATGAAAGGATGCTGGTAAATGAGAGTAGGAATCATGCATTACAGAGGAAATGGCCCTAAGCATTATAAACCATCATCTCCACACCAAACATCCCATTAGCATGACACTCAGCCCTCATTTGCTTGGTTTTCTGTTGGCTTCGAGGTTATGGGGAGGTTATTAGATTTGGTTGTTTTGTTGAAGGCCACAATGAAAACCTCAGATACTGGGACAAGATCTTAATGGAGTTAAGAGAGCACTTGATATAGATTAAGTCATAAATGTATGCATGGACTGAGTTTTTGTTATTTGTCTAAGGGCAAAACAACTTGGCACCTTCAAAAGTCAATCAATAAAATGTCTGCAGTGAAATCAACCTGTTGACATCATCTGAACTGTTTATAAGGCATCTCATATACAAAGGTTGGGATCAGTTTTGCTTTCCCTCACCACACAAATGAGCTCTGAAAATGCCCTCTTGTATGCTGTCATTTGGATCAATGTAAATCACTATAGAGTGCTGCAGGGATGTCATATTTTTATAGACCTTGAAACAAGTTAATTTAGCATTTTCAGTTCCATCGTCCTGATATGAATGTTTTTTTTTTGTTTTGTTTTTTTTAATGGTTTTTGGTTAAACACCTGAAATAAGTCTGTGGTTAACACAAGCTCAAGATATTTTTAATAGGGATGTCCTGATCAGGTTTTTTGTGCCCCGATCCGATCCGAGTCATTGAATATTGAGTATCTGCCAATACCGAGTCCCGATCCAATACTTGTATTGTCCTAGTGCTTGGTGCACACTTCAAGTACATTAAAGTTATAAAGTTATTAAAATCAATCCAATTTATACAGCGATGTGCAGAGAATTTGTGATGCAACCATGGTTTAGTTTGTTTATACTATGTTTAGCTTTTTACTTCTGGCGATTGTATTTAGGCTTAAAACTCATAGATGTTGTGTTCATTTGTAAAAATCATAAACTTTTGTTGGTCACAGAGCTTATTTTTTGCAATAATCCAAAAGCCAATGAAAAAAATCCTATTGGGATTTAGTTGAAGAAGCCAGGGTGATGCTAACTTACGGGTTGGCCTACAGAAAATACGTTGTCACTGCAGCACTCTATAGACAGCATGGGCCAATTATCTGTAGTTGCTGAAATATGCATATGTGTCCTCTAGATATGAGCTGGATATTTGTCATAACAGGTTCATGGCATCAGCGGTCAGAAAAATGTATATATAACCAACCACAATTGAGTCAGTCTGTAGATGATGCTGATGTTTTATGGACAGTGCTTTCTGGTGCGCGCATTACAGGAACTTGCTGTTAAAACATTTAGTTCTTCAACAGACTCAACAGTTACTATTCTAAAACCTCATGGTGTTTTACAGGTCCAAATATATATCAAGTTAAAGAAACACACTTGTGAATGACACTGACAAATATAGTCTAGTGATAAAACATGATGGTCCTCCACAGCCTTCTCAGTGTTCTCATACATATTTGTGCACTTATGAGGACCTTCCATATAGACTTCTATTGTTACACTCACTGTAGGTCAAATTAAACAAATTTGTAAAGCTTAAGCTTAATGTTTTGCTATATATATATATATATATATTATCAAGCTACCTTGATAAAATTCTGTAAACTTCCTTGGAACCAAAATAATACTTATAAACCCTTTTGAACATGTAATAATTATTACTAAAAATGGATATAGATTTGAGTTCTTTTGTCCACTGTTGTCTATGTTGCATTTTGTAAGTCACCATATTAGTATGATTAGTATTGCCTCTAGTGAACTTGGACCTTTTGTTGAAGTTATTACCTAATAAAACTGTTTATATTCTGTGCACAATTTTTATTATTATTTTATTTTTATTTTTTTGGACTGTTTGGGGTGGAGGGAGAATCAGTTACCAGTGACCCAAATCAGTTCAGTTATCAGTGACCCAAAGGTCACTCATAATACCCCTATTTGCTATAATTTTATCATATTTTATAAATTTATAATAATTTAAAAACATCAGATATGAGTTCAGTGAGTTGGTTCAGTTTACACTTTTAGAAGACTACCTTAGATTAACTTGATGATACAAGAGAAAGAAATGCGATGTACTTCAACCAAATAAGTGTTTATTTTAAAGGCGTCTTAGACACCTCTGCACCTCGTAGATTTGAATTCTGGCATTATTTTGACTATTTATGAACCTTTTACCCAGTGAAGTGGTTTTACTATAGTGCACGAGGGCATTTTCATGATGTGCGCAGAAGTGGTTGATGAACACAGACAGATCAGTGCGCAGTGCGCTCTTCAGTCTCCACTCATGACTATATTTTCTGTCTCAAAATATAGTGAGCTGAATGCCTCAGCAGCATTTCTGGCCATAGATTTTGTCGCATTTCGAGTTAGCAAAATGTCCAAAAAAACAACAACAACAATCTACGCGCACCCAATGTCCAAACATGATGCACGCGCATATAATGCATAAAAACCGCTATATAAAGGTAGGCAACGCGCATTAGTGTTAAAAACAGGCTACATGTTGTAGTTTAAAGCAGTCATAGAGAGAATTACTTGAGGTTCAGTGTGTTATTTAAAAAAAACACACTAATTCATTAGCTGTGTGGAAAATAGCGTTTATAAAATGGAACTCGTTGTCACTTTAAAGGAATCGTACAGTCAGAATGCAAATCATGTTGTCATTTACTCACTCTTGTGTTGTTCTAAACCTCTATGACTTACTTTTTTTCTGTGTTACACAAAAGTAGATGTAATAACAGCCCCAGTATCCATTCGCTTTCATTGTATGGAAAAAAGATGCAATAAAGTAGCTAAATGGTGACTGAGGATGTCATTCTGCTGCGCACCCCTTTTTGTGTTTAAGGGCAGAAAGTCACAGATTTAGAACAACCTGTGGTTGAGCAAAGAACATCATTTGCGTTTTTCGGCGAACTACCCTTTTATGAAATAACGGAATCTCACCTCACCTGCTGGTTTTGGATGTTGCACTGACTCGTGACTGATTTCGTCTAACTAGCGTACAACAGGTGTCCAGTGCGAAGAAAACCCGTTACAGTCCAACCGCCTCCACCGAGAGAAAAGCGCGAAAATGCGCAACAACAGAAATAGAACGCGGGAAAATAATATCCATTTGATCAATGATCCTCTCATTTCGCATTCAAGATGGAGCTAATCTGCAGAGTTTCCCAAAGCCAAACATGTTTGTTGTCTCCAGAAAGTGCATGTGCGAGATCTTTGATTGTTTATCATCTTGCATATTCTCTTTCCCATGTAGGTTTCATCGCACTTTGGTGTGACGCGTTCTCATCTTTCGTTAAGTGTTATTTTGATAATTGAAGAGACTTGGAGCGCAAAGATGTCCTGTCTGCATACTACATAGTCAGTCTTCCTGTCTGCATACTACATAGTCAGTCTCTCTTGGAGCGCAACGATGTCCTGTCTGCATACTACATAGTCAGTCAGTCTCTCTTGGAGCGCAAAGATGTCCTGTCTGCATACTACATAGTCTCTCTCTCTCTCTTGGAGCGCAAAGATGTCCTGTTCCGAATATTCTATTCTTCAGAAAGCTGGCTCCTTCATGGACACTGCCATGTTTAATCACATGACCAATAATAATAAATGTTTAGTTTATATAGTGCTTTCAGTCAGTGTCCAAGGCACTTTATAAAGAGTAGAAGTCAACAGTAATGAAGCAAATTGTTTTAAATCCTACCAGTGAATTTAGGCTTGACAACATTATAATATGTCAAATGGAAGTGATTTTGATTCTAGCACTTTTGAAAAATATTATTTAACTATAAAAAGCTAGACATATTACACATAATAGTCCATATCTAGTGAAATCTGTATTCTGTTCTTCAGAAAGCTGGCTCCTTCATGGACACTGCCATGTTTAATCACATGACCAATAATAATAATAATAATAAATGTTTACTTTATATAGTGCTTTCAGTCAGTGTCCAAGGCACTTTATAAAGAGTAGAAGTCAACAGTAATGAAGCAAATTGTTTTAAATCCTACCAGTGAATTTAGGCTTGACAACATTATAATATGTCAAATGGAAGTGATTTTGATTTCATTTATGCATCCAAGCCAACTGGTGTCAGTATAAAGTCCAATAACTATTGGGAGAAATAAGCCTGCTTGAAATGGTTCAGATCGCTAACCATTCCTCTCATTTTGCTGAATTACAAATCCTCATTATTAAATTATTTATCTCTATATATCTCAAAAGTAATCATGATTTATCTCAGACAAGGGTTAGTATATAGAAATGTCATTTTACATTGAGATGAAAATGTTTCAGAGTAAATCGAGACACTGTCCTTCTGAATTTGTTTTGGCTCAACAGCAACACGAAACCTGCAGATTTATCATCAGGAATTTATCATATTGCCAAGCTGTCTGTTAGAACAGATGAATGTTTTGGACAGTCTAGTCTGTAAACTGGTGAGCACCTGTGCCATTTATTCATGTACACTTCACCATCAAAACAGTACAAATGAAATGTGTCCAGATACTGAGATGATTTTTGTTTCTCTATTTCAAACCTGTGAAACTGATGAGTCATTGATCTGGGTTTGAAGCATTCGGTGCGAAGAAGCCAACTCTAAAACTTCTCATCCTTTAATTTGTCAGATTAACAGGTTCAAACATCACAGAGCAAGACAAATGTGGTAGTAATCAAAGGCATTTCTCTGTGAGAATTTCATGTCATCTCGGAGATTTGAAGGACATACTGTCACACCCCTGTGGACTGTTGATTGTGGTTTCTCCCTCTGTGTCCTTATTTGGTTGTTCCTGTTCTCGTTATTAGTTAATCACCTCATTGTGCTCACCTGTCTGCCCCTCGTTATCTGCCCTATATCAGTTCCTGTCTCTTGTATTTTAGTTTGTCAGTTATTGTGAATGTTACCCTGAATGTGAATGTTACCCTGTGGGTTGATGTCTACCCTGTCTGGATCTCCACCCTGTCTGGCTCTCCCATTAAATATCCTTTTATTCGTCATCCTGCCTTATCTCTGGAACACCCTACCCGTGACAGACTCATAGAAAGCGCAGAGCGCATCGTTCGGATAGCTGGTGACGTTAGTGACCATCAGGAACAGTCTGGTATGGTCCTCGAGAGTCCTGCCCTCCTGCTCCAGCAGGAGGAGGAGGAATTCAGGGTGCGTGAAGGGATCCATGGGGTAAACACAACGTAAAGAAAAACACTGAGGAAAAACCGGAAAACAAACGGAGGGGAGAAAACGGAAGTTAAACTCTTTTTGGGTCGGTCCTTCTGTCACAATTCTCGGGAGGCAAGGAGCGAGGAACGAGGAAACACAGAGATAACTTCAATTCAGTCTTTAATGATCACACAGGGAACGTAGGAGACACTGGAACTCAAGGAATGACGTTTAAGGACCGACAAACACTAACTGAAAGGACTGGGGCTTTTAAACACTGGGTGATTGGGAAAACACAGGTGCAAGGAATGACTAATTAAAGGAATGTTTTTTTTATTGTCTTATGAAGTATTCTAATTTGTTGAGATAGTTAATTGGTGGGTTTTTGTTAAATGTGAGCCAAAATCATCACAATTAAAAGAACCAAAGACTTAAACTACTTCAGTCTGTGTGCATTGAATTTATTTAATGCACGAGTTTCACAATTTGAGTTGAATTACTGAAATAAATGAACTTTTCCATGACATTCTAATTTATTGAGATGCACCTGTACATACCGCAAATATAAATAAATACCGCAGTGAGAGTTAGGATGATGGGGAACAAAACAAACAGCTGAATTAGCTGATAGATGATCATGTTTCTATATGAGCCCCTGTGTGAAAGCTGGGTATGCTGCTACCTCCAGGCAACAACAGAAAAATCTTGGTATTCACACATTTCAATATAAATACTCGCAAGCCTACATAGAGAAAAAGAACAGGGGAATCAAAATGAGAACAGTGACCAAATCCAATATTACCTTCTTGATTCCAGTCTTTCTAAACAAATACCAAGATTTTCAGTGTATTCTGACCTTAAGTTCTCCATTTAGATCATTAAAGCATGTGAGCAGATAATGACACACTGAATTATTATAAAATGGGATAATCTTGCAGAATGTCAGTATTGATTTGCAAGGCCAGACACAATAAATGAAATGTCTCCTGTTCTTTATTAGTGCAGGTGTGAGTTTGTGTATAGTCTACTTATGGTGGGAAAGTTTGTGTATAGCCTCTATATTCACAGCAGCTGTTTAAAACCGTATTACTGTTTGCCACTCAGAGACCTGGCTAATTAAAATGGATTGGATTTTACCCTTAGAGAGGCCATGCCCAGACACTGCTTGTTGCAGTGATCAACATTCTTGGACCCTACTAGTATTTGTACAGACAGCAAACCTCCTCTAATAATGCAGTTAGAAAAAGAGACAATATCATTCTAGCTCATGCACACCATTTTCTTTCCTGCACACAAAATAATGTTAAATGTAAAAAATAAATAAATAAATAATTATCCTTGTGTCCTGCATTCAAAAACAAACAAATACAGCGTGACTATTGTAGTCCAATTCACAAACAATTATTTTTAGTGGATCAAATACATTGTGCAACCAGTGTACATGAGTTATACAAATGAGTTATGAGCCAGTTTCCCTTCAGGAACCTGAGCTGCATCGGAAACGCTTTGGGGAACACGTCTGCATGACCGCGTACGGAAGCACGTGTGAAATCAGTCCAGTAGAGTGGCATGATGTCACGAGCGTGGTGATGTAGCAACTGGGAAGCTATAAACACGCATCCGGTGAAAACAATGCCAGCTTCTGCTCTTCAGCAAGCGCTCTGTGTTGTGTCCGTTAAAAAGGTGTGTTTGAAGAGTGTGTGTTGTACCAGTGCATACATTCAGTTATATAGAAATGGCGAGTGATAAGTCAGACAAGAAGCGTTTTAGTGTGTTCCTCCCTGCCCGCATTTCAATACAGGCGAGGATACACACAATCTTTGCGTTGCTTGTCTGGTAGCAGACAAGGTAGCTCTCAAGGGAGCTGACTGCATGTATTGTGAGCGACTGCCGCTGTGCATGCTCCGTTTCCGCCTGCCGCTATTTGAGGAGGGTGCACGCTCGCGATCCTCACGTTCTGCCGAGGCAGAGTGGCGATTGAGATTGTGGGGATCACAGATGGATCTAGTGGAGGGGTTGCAGATGGGCATGGCCCTTTCTATGCCCTTACCCTCTAGATCCAGTGCTCGCTCTCAGGGTTCGGAAGCATGCTCTGCAGTTTCTTCCCCCCAGAGTGTGAGCACGTTGATGTGGAGAGCATTGAACAGGATGAGGCTGGGGACTCGTCACCGCAGTTCACCCAGTATGAGGAGCTGTTGGAGGTGGTGACTTGTGCTGTGGTTAAATTAAAAATAGATTGGCCGGCCGAGAAGCAGGAAGATCATCCTTAAAGCAAGCTAGACAAACGCTTCCTGCATTCTAAGTCACCTCCTCCATGTCGGAGCCTTCCTTTCTTCCCTGATCTCCACACTGAGGTGTCGAAATCATGGTAAAGACCTTATTCAGCCCATCTTTTCACCCCTAATGTCAGTAATTATTCTAACATATTGGGGCTGAGAGAACATGGCTATGGGACCACGCCCCGGGTTGAACAGACACTTGCTAGCTATCTGTCCCCAGGGTCAGCATCATCCCTGAAGACTCCGGCATTGCCCACCAGGCTTTTCAAGACAATCGGCCTTGGTGGATAAAGCTTTTACTGCGGCAGGTCAGGCTAGTGCTTGTCTTCACAGCATGGCGGTGCTGCAGGCAGACCTGCTTAAAGACCTGAACAAAGGCGAGGAAGTGCACTCTGACGATATTAAGGAGTTGCGTCGTGCTGCTGATTTGTCTTTCCGGGCCACCAAGGAAATGGCCAGAGATATTGACCGCTCTATGGCAGCATTGGTGACTACAGAGAGACATCTCTGGTTGAACCTGTCCGATATGAAGGACAAGGACAGGTTCTTCCTTTTGGACGCCCCGCCTGCTCCTTCTGGCCTTTTCGGTGATGCTGTCAGCTCAGAGATGTCAGAGCTAAACTCTGCAGGACATCAGCACTCCAGGACCGATGTTGCCTACCCCTGCTACAGAGCATGTCCCTCAGCTTGAGAGGGAGTCTGGCTTTTACAGCCGATACTTCATTGTTCCCAAGAAGGATGGGGGGTTGCGTCCTATCATAGATC